ATATGCAATTTGTGAAAGCAGAATAACGTGTATCATATTTTTAAATGACTAATATGGAGTTGATATGCCTTTAAACCAACAAATCAAATTAAATCACAAAAGCTGAGTATCATCTACCATGTATTCAATTGTGAAAGCAGAATAACATGTATCATATTTTTATTACTTCAAAGCTCCCAAGAAAATAAAGTTTCAACATTAAATGACCCATAAGGAGTTGATATGCCATTAGACAAGCAAATCAAATCAAATCACAGAAGCTGAGTATCATCTACCATGTATTCAATTGTGAAAGCAGAATAACATGTATCATATTTTATTACTTCAAAGCTCCTCCTAAAACTAAATTTCAGCACTAAATGACCCATAAGGAGTTGATATGCCGTTAAACAAACAAATCAAATCAGTTATTCTTACCTGTCCAAATCATTCATTCACACAAACTCATCAAGGAGGCTACTTGATGTTTTTCTCTGCATTTCTTTTCTTCAATATGTTCGGTAAGTCTCAAGCTCTCCAAGTCTCCACTTCATATGTCAGGAAATTGTTCAGGATTCACTATATCCTGGGTATGACGATAAACTACATCCGGCAGCAAGGCCTCTGATCGGGAGGTTTTGAGGAGCGTTGAACCACCTTTTAATTGCTGTTGTTTCCAGGTCCACCCTGACCCGGCGTGGTAGCACCTGTTAAGATCTCAGCTAAGGGAAAATAGAGAGCTCCCATACTGGGGTCAAAACACTATGAAAGTATCAAAATAGATTTTTATAGTAAAAATCTCAGCAATACATTTTTGAAAACTATTACCAGCAATATATTTTTTAAAGAAAAATATTACCAACAGTACATCTGACTGTCGCCAAAAACCCTCTTTACAAAAACAGGTAAATGAAACCTGACCGACAAACTGATTTCTTACAACAAACTACATATTCTATTCATAGGAACCTATCCTAAAAATCTTGTCGACATTAAATAACCCATCGAGGTGATGATATGCCGGAAAACGAAATAAACCCAAACTCTGATCTACAAACTGATTTTTTGCAAAATTCATTTTCTGTTCATACGAACCTATCCTAAAAATCTTGTCGGCATGAAATAACCGATTGAAGTTGAGATGCCGTAAAACAAAATAAACCAAACCAGGATTCACTGCTATATAGGATGGATATTACATAGCATCTGCAATGTTATTGATATTGACCTGGCATCTCAGCTTCAGTCACTTTCCCACTGCCATAATGTAGCTTCTCTGTGCCTTTTCTATAAATATTTTCATGGTAATTGTTCTGATGAACTTTCCTCTAAAATACATAGACTTTATGAATTTAAGTGCAGTACTAGATTGGCGGCAAGGTCTCATTATTTTACCGTTAAAATGACTAGACATAACCGTAACTTCTATGCTAGCAGTTTCTTCTCTTACATTTCTCGCTTGTGGAACTCTCTTCCCGCTTCTTGGTTCCCAGTCAACTTTGACCTTCAAAAATTTAAATGCAATGTCAATCGTTATCTTCGGTTTTGTTTTGTTTGGTTTGGTTTGGTTTGTTTTACGGCATATAAATCTCAATGGGTTATTTAATGCCCACAAAATTTTTATTGCTGGTAATATTTTCTTTTCAAAATTGTATTGCTGTTAATACTTTTTTTTTTCAAAAATGTATTGCTGGTAATAATTTTTTAATTTTTTTCCAAAAATGTATTGCTGATAAAAAAAATTTTCCAAACAAGTATTGCTGGTATTAAAACCTATTTTTATACTTTCATAGTGTTTTGACCCCTTGTTTTTTTTGCTGGGACCTTGACAGGTGCTACCACCCCGGATCAGGGTGGACCAGGGAACACCAGCAATTAAGAGGTGGTTCAACGCTCCTCAAAACTTGATCAAAGACCTTGCCGTCGGGTGTAGTTTATCGTCATAACCAGGACGCCGTTATCGTCTGTCTTCTTAATTCTTTTCCTTTTATTGTCTTCTCCCCTTAATAGCGTATTTTCACTTCTCTAACCCAAAGTAAAACTTTTGAAGTGGGGGGGGGGCTTATTTTCCATTCTCCAACCTCTTTCCCAAAGACGCAAGTCTGTCGCTATTCCATCACTATTTCCATGACTAATCGTTGAAATAATGGTTTCCTTTTACTCTTTCTCGTATTCTTTCACACTCACTACCCCCCCCCTCTTGCGTCTTAGTGGCTTTATTGCTTTGCTTGGGGTGAAATGATTAAAAGAAAAAAAATGTTCAGCATTCTTTTACTTGTTTCTAACGAAATTTTAAATTAACTCGTCCTGTCCATAATTACCTTTCATAAACCCTCCGTTTGAACACCACACAAGTTTCGTTTCCTTAATATTCAGCAAGTGGCGAGTTAAATTTACATGATTTGTTTTTTCTTTAATCATTTCATCCCAAGCAAGGCGATAAAGCCACTAAGACGCAAAGTGGGGGGGGGTTACTGTGTGTGAAAGAATACGAAAAAGAATAAAAGAAAACTATTTTTAAAGAGATAGAAGAATAAAATGACACGTGTTAAGAAGACAAAAATGATTTACTGATACGATCCCTACTAACCCATAGCTGGAGGAAGAAGAGGTGGATTCTTATCTTTCCTAAGAATAATTGCACCTAAGTGAAGGTAACAAATTCGATTGGAATTGAAACTCGACTCTCCAAATTCCGATTCCGTGCCGTTATCCATTACACTACCTACACATCCAAGCTTTACAACACCTGGTATTCCCGAGCGGTCACTCATCTAGGTACTGCCCAGGCTCGACTTTGCTTAACTTCGATGATGGTACGAGAACCGGTGTTTCAACGATTAGCTATGGAAATAGTGACAGACTTGTGTCTGTGGGAAAGAGGTTGTAGAATGGAAAATAAGTCACCCGCCCACGAGTCCGCCTAAACGCTTTTAAACTCTGTCAATGCTGGAAAGTGAGGATTGAGTAATCTCAGTAGTAGCCAGGTATTGAACCAGAGACTTGGAGAGTTGAATTAAAAAAGAGATAACTGAGAATTCCCGAAGAGGCATGACACGTGGAGCAAGAACAATCTATCCCGGTGGAGGAAATAAAGGGTTCAGTTCGAAATTCCAATCACCTGAAGAAAACCGGAGTGTATAACGGCTGAAACGTCGTGAATATGACAATAAAGACGAGGAAAATAGTCCGAACAATGTAAATAATCACAATGCCCCATCTCAGAAATATAGACAGATAACAATAATATAATTCCTTAAGCAAAAACTAAGTAGAAATAGCATAAAATAGGTGAATGAAAGTGTATATGTAGGAAATTCAGTAGTCCAGGTCTTTTTTCATGTTAAAAATCCGAACGTCCGAATTCGAAACATTAATAGAATAAAAGTAAAGAAAACATGGGTATGTCTGTTAAATAAATCATAAAATTTATAAACATAAATTTACAAACATATCTAGATGAATAAAAATAGTTTTCACTTGAGTTTGAGTCGTCTTTGGGTAGTTTAGAAAAGACTTTTAAATAGTTGGTCTACAGAAAAATCTGGGTTAAGAAAAAAACTTTAGTGAAGATTTACTGACCGTCTTTGTTGTTATTGTTGGAGATGATACATTTGAAGTCGCCGACAAATGACTTTTGTTCAATACGATAATTATAATATACTAACCGAATTACCCGCTTGTAAGAAAATGATGATTGATTTTAAATCATTGTTATAATATGTGGAGAAAAATGATGCATTTCAATATTACTCAATGATCTTGCCAACGTGACTTACATATTCTGGTTTTCTATATTTTAGATAGGAATCATTCCCTTGCTCAAATTTGAATTTAAATTAAAGGAAAAGAAATTTTCAATGGGGAGTTTGTGCAAAAAAACAGCTTGATCTGATCCCTTTGATATGTATTTGATGCAATACTTGATTGAATGAATTCATGAGCAGATTTCAACATTGATATAACAGTTGAACTGTCGCAACAAATATGTATTGTAAGGCACGACCCAGTGATTGGTGATTTCTTGCTCAACTTGACGCCCATATTGTCTCATTTTGATCTTGCTAATGTGACCTCCATCTTCTTTCTTTCTCCTTGTATATTTTGGATAGGAGTCATTCCCTTGTTCCAATTTAAATATAATTTAAATCAAAGAATATATATGGTCATGGGGTTCTATCTCCAAAACCCTAAGAAGAGTTCGATAACAGACAGACAGACAGAGGTTGCAACTTTTTATATATATATATATATATATATATATATATATATATATATATATATATATATATATATATATATATATATATATATAAAGACAAGAGGAAAACCTTTTATGCCAACACATTTCGTTCCCTGAGGTACTTTCTCAAGGCAATTGTGGAAATTTAACTTTGTAACCTGTATTTATACACAGAAGCGACCCAGAGTTAAGTTTTCAAATGTGAGAATTATAGAAACTGCTCTGAAAATATTATTAGAAATTTTGAATTAGAGACCGCTCTAAGATATTCCTATTTTATACAGCATTTTCTAATTCCAAATTTAACGATATTTTTTTCAACGTTACTTCCGTATATAAATACAGGTTGTCAAAAAAATTTCCACTCTTTGATAAAGTTTCTTAAGAACGAAATACGTTGACATAAACGGTTTTCCTCTTGTATTTTCTTTTATTTATATTTTTTCATACATATATTTTATTTATATCTGAAGTTTTGCATGTGTGTGTGTGTGTCTGTGTGTGTGTGTGCGTCTGTGTGTGTGTTGATTCTCTTCTGTGTGGCTTTTTGGCATGCCTTTACACGCAAGTTATTTTAATTATTAAATTTTGCAGATTACTACAAATAATTACAAATAGACTCCAGCTTGCCTAGTTAACAAATGAATGCCAGTTCGCTTTGGGCAATTCAGTTTAAAGGACGAATTGGAAGATATTTTAGATACGCCCACTGGCCGGATTTTCAACAAAAGTTTTGTCGTTTTGTATTACGAGAAAGCATCCGAAAATTGTGAAAAGAATGTATAAAGGAAGAAACGTGAAATTGGAAACTCATTGTGTAACACACTTGTTGCATTCTTTCTTTTGTCGATTTTTTTTCTTTCGTCTCTTCCTTTCTTTTTACATTTTCTTTTGTCTCTTCCTTTCTTACATTTTTTTCTTTTGGTCCCTATTTTCTTTGTTCTTTTTCTTTTCTTTTTCTTACACTTTCATCCTCTTTTTCATTTGTTTGTTCCTCTTTTCCTTGTCTCTTCCCTCTTTCTTTTTATTGTATTCTTTCTTTTGTCTCTTCCTTTTTTTTATTGTTTTCTTTCCTTTTTTTCGTTTCCGTTTTTCTTTCTTTCTTTCTTTCTTTCTTTCTTTCTTTCTTTCTTTCTTTCTTTCTTTCTTTCTTTCACCTTTAATCATTCCTTCTTATTACTTTCTTTCATTTTCCCCCTGTTTCTACCTTCTTTATTTTTTCTTTCTTTCTTTCTTTCTTTCTTTCTTTCTTTCTTTCTTTCTTTCTTTCTTTCTTTCTTTCTTTCTTCTTCTTTTCATTTGTTCTTTCTTTCTAGTACTTTTATCCTTGGGTTCGTTTTCCATTTTCCCATCCCTATTTCCTTTCCGTCTCTGTTCTTTCTTTCATATTTTCTTTCATTCGTTTCTATCTTTCGCTTCATTTTTTTCGCCTTCTTTTGGCCTTTTGCTTTCTTTTTCTTTCCTTTTTTTTAACCTTTTCATTTTCTCTCTTTCTTCTTTCTTTTGTTTGCCTGCCTCCCCGTCTCTCTTCCTTCCTTCCTTCTTTCTACTTAGGTATTTGGTGACCGTATTTTAGTTTCGAAACATGACTTAACTGCAGGGTCATCAGCTGGTGTAGAACTTGTTGCTAGCATAACAGTAGATGGAATTCAATGGTATTTTTTTTTAAATGGAACTTTTTTTAGTCCATCATTATTTCTTACTTGTAGGCTTATACTTAATCAGGAAGAAGCAGCTGAAGTTTCTGGGACACATAATGAGAAAGTAGGGCCTGGAGAATCTGATACTCACGGGTCGAATAGAGGGAAAGAGAGACAAGGGAAAACAACCCGTGATATACTTGGCCGGAATAAGGTCTGGGGGAGGAAGCAGAGGGAAGAAACTTGTTGAGAACTGCAAGGGATAGAAGGAGGTGGAGAGCCATGATCGCCTACGTCCTGAAAGGACATGGCACAGACAAAGAAAAGAAGTGTACCTGTGCCGTCAAAACAGACGGCCAGAAGGAATGTATTATAAGTAATACTGTAAGTAATTTTCGTTTAATCCAAGTACAATTTTGTAATTTTAAAGTTCGTTGTTAATCTTAATAATTGAACAGTATACAATTTATAAACACCTAAGGAAAGATATCTGTATAATATCCTCATAAATGTTACATATTTACAACCAAAATTATGTTTACTGCAAAAGTTCCTAAAGCACAATATTTTTTGTGTAAAGTTTGGAAGGTCTGAGTAATTCTTTACAGTCCGTAGATTCAATCTGTAATTTCAGAGTCTGCTTATTTCTCGTCCTACTAAGAGCAACGTATCATATATATAAATACGTAATAATTGCATTAGAATCCATTTTTAGCTATGTAAGCGTTTCGAAGGTCTCAGAATTAAAAAGTAAAAACGAACGGGAATAATCATTATTCCCGTTCGTTTTTACTTTTTAATTCTGCTGATAATTTCGAAACGCTATATTTATTTTTAAATTTTCTATTCTATTGAATTTATTTCAGTGTTTTTTTTTTTGTGTGTAATTATTTTAACTTTTTATTATTCATTTATTATTGCAGATTTTAAAAACGAAACTTAATAATATCTTTTCTTCTTTTTACTTTACTTTATAAAAACAAATTTCAAACAAAATATCAAGCCAGATGAGCGCAATGGTCTCCGCTCCACTCCGAAAATATGACACGGAAAATAATTTACTTATATTATGGGAAATAATTTTTTGTTCAGTCTTTAAAAAATAAACTTCATTGTTGTTGGTTTGTCACTAACATGAAAAAATGTATATGATTTTAAATTAAGTCTTATTAAAGCAAAAAATATAGCGAGCCTTATTTTTTTCGAAAATTAATTTAAATAAAATATAGTTAAATTTGTAAAACAAATATTCAACACGACTAATGTTTCCCGTAACTCATGTTTGTCTCTCCTAATTTTTATTTAGCTAAAGTTCTTTTTTTTTTCTTTTCAAAAGTAAATATAACTTGAATTTAGACGGGTGGGTCATCGTTATTTTGCACAATTACCCTCAATTGTTACAGACACAAAAAACATATTTTAAATCAGTTAATTTATAATATTTATGCTCCGTAAATTTACATTGAGCACTGTTTTATAAATATAAAAAATATCAATAAGAACACCGGTTTATATATCTTACTGTTCTTTCTTTCTTTATATATATATATATATATATATATATATATATATATATATATATATATATAATTATTTATTTAAAAATATGATTCCAACACGCTACATAAGAGGGAATAAATTATTTCTGAAATTTACGTGTTTTAATAGCATATTCATTATTGAAATCAAAATTTCTATGGTAACGGCTAGAGCGATTGTTTAAATAAAAAGGGGTTCAGGTGTTAATAATTTGTATCAGTATAGCGTTACATTCACAGATGTCAAGTCAGGGTAAGGTTGGGGTGTCTAAATTTAAAACGGAAGATGATTTCGCCTAGTCTGGTTTACGTGTCTATGGAGATTTATTTATTTTTTTATTTTATTTTTTTCTGAAAGGGTTTTGTGTATATAAAAAAAACTGCTGTAACATTTGTTTTTTGACGACTTCATAAAGGGTTATCTTTTTTTGTAGGGTATTTAAACTATTTATTAGGACTATGGATTTTAAAAATTATTTTATTGTTTGTTTTTATGCTAATTATTCAATGCAAAAATTTGATGATGTCGGCAAAAAACCGTTAACTAATGTCTATTGTTTAATAGATTTTTATTATTTAGAAACTTAATAATGTGTAGTTTTTCATGTAGGCATAAAGGGCATGGGTCATTCCAAGTTTTACAAGTTCTAGTTTTGTTTATAATTTTCCTTTTTACTTTTGGTGTTTTATTCATTTCCTTCAAATGCCAAAAATATTTAGATAGAGATGTCTGATTTCTTTTATTTATATTGTTGAAAGAGCACTTATGCTGCCTCTATCTGGTTTTAAATTCATCCTTCGTAGACCCAATGTATATCATATTAGTATTAGGACTCTCAATGGATGAGATATTACATTGGTATACCACAGATTTGACGCAGCATTTATTTTCCAATGGGCAGTCTTCTGGGTTTCTACAATCACATAATTTTTCTAATTTAAGTGTAGGGTTTTTATTAATACTATTCAGGCATGGGGGTTTGTTCAGGATTTTATTATTGTGTTTTTTTTTATTATACTTTCTAGATTTTCAGTGCAGCTGTAACTCAGTTTTAGGGTGTTCTTATTAAATATTTTACTAAGTCTACTAAATATTTTACTTTTAAATAAATAATTATATTTATGCTCTACTTTTGTATCGAGCACTATTTTTTTAAAATATTAACTAAAATACTAAAGAACTTTGGATTATTTACCTAACGAGTTCTTTCCTATTTTCTATATATTTTCACACACACACACACACACACACACACACACACACACACACACACACACACACACACACACACACACATATATATATATATATATATATATATATATATATATGAAAAAAATACTAAAAAAAAAAATCTTAATATGTGATTATGCTGTTTTAATGTTTAATGTCAACGTCGGACGTTTCGGTCTAATAGACCATCTTCAGGACATATTCATAAAACGTAATTAACATAGACCATATACAATTCAACATGAAAAAGACGATGGACATAAAAGCAACACCAATCCAAACAGATAACAGAAATCTTTTATAAGATCAGCGTTCCGTTTAAATATGATCACGTCGTCGTCACGTGGGCGATGTTGTGAAAATGTATTCCTAAAATTTGAGTATTTTGAATGAAAAACGAAAAGAATTTTATTTTGATCTAAAACTTATATGTACGTTTGTCGAGCATTAATCTTTATAAAAGATGCACACACATTTTGAGAATTATAGATATAGATTGTGGAGAGAGTAGCCATGGTTAAATGCAAAATAAGTAACAGAACTGTCTAACAAACAGAATTGACAAAATTTGCAATAAGCAATAACAAGAAAAAGAAAACAACAGGGCAACAAAATAATAAAGCAAGAAAACAATATATGCAAGACAAATTAACACTAATAAGGCAAAGCAACAGTGATATGCCAAAAAGTTCACAAACTAACAATTAGGATTGAGACACAAGAGCAAGTTCAGACAAGCGAACGTAGCGTTCTGAGTTCAAGACAAGACAGAACGGGACTAATTAGATGAAACCGAGAACCGGCCTATTTTATTGGCTAAGAAAAATCCAGTATTGTGTGCTTCTGCCTATAAAATGGGGAGGGTTATGTGTTTTACATTCGCAGGTAGATTGGGATCAATACTTATTAATATAAACGTTATTTTTAGTGGGCATACGTGTTTGAGTTAACACATCTGTTTTTTAAACAGTGAAATTAATGTCTACCGGTGTAGAAGTACTATCAAAGAAAAATGTACATTACAACAAGAATCGAACCTGTATTCCCTTTTGCCACTCGAGAAACAATGAGAGGAGTAAGCAGGCCATGAACTTTCGCCTATGATAAACGGTTGTACTCCCAAGGAGGTTCTTTGTTTTAAACGTCTGTCGGGATTCAGGTTCACTCCCAAACCTCAAGCAGAACTTATATATATGATCTATTGTTAAATATGCTGGGAAATGGTCAGTTCCTTGAACTGCTCCTTCTCCTAAGCTCTATCTTTACAAGAATCAGATCAAATCTAGTAAAAAGCCTTACTTTCCAGCCGATAGAATTCAAAATACCTACGCGGCCTTGTGGGTGGTTAATTATTTTCCAGTTTATAGCCCCTTTTCCCACAGACGAAACGTGGCAAACCTCTCGCTATTCTATCACTATTTCCTTGGAAAATGTGCTGACGAGCTACATTAATTGGTTTCAACATCTAACATCTGTCATGCCACTCCCAATATGGCCACTTGTTTTGAACGTCCATTAGGACTCAGTTTCATTCTAAACCTCAAGTGGGACTCATATATACAATCCATCAGTAAAGATACTTGAAAATGAACGATTCTTTGTCCAACCCCGACCATGCTACTATGCTCTAAACTTACGAGAGTCAGATCAGACCAAAAATGGAGTACAGCCCAACCCTCATTTTCTAGCCTTGATAGTGTTTAAAATAGCCTACACAACCTTGTGGATGATTAATTATTTTCTAGTCTTTAAACTCTTTCCCAAAGATTAAATACGGCAAGCTTCTAGCTATTCAATCGCTATTTCCATGGAAAATCTTCTGACGCGCTACAATCATTAGTTCCACCAGTTCAGACCTTCACATCTAAGAACTGCCATAACACGTACGCAGGAACGCATCATCTCCATTCTTTTCTTATCCCATAATTAAAAAGGAAGATCCATTCAGAGCACTTCTTTCCAGGGATCGCTGCCTCGTGGAAAAGACTCCCGAGATGATGTTTCCCCAAACACTACAACCTTAACCACTTTTATAGTCGAAGATCAACCGTTATCTTCCCTACTTATCCGTATAATCAGCACGTCTTACCTGCTCCTCGTGGGTTCATATGAAGACCTCATTCAGTAACCTTCTACCTTGAGTGGCTCTTGGGCCTTGTATCTG